GAAAATTTAATGCTGTGCTCAACGGAACTCAACAGGTTGTTTTGGTTTTTCTGTTGTTGCTTGTTTTTTACTGTAGAACCATAGACTCCATATTATATTATCCTAATGTTCCCTTTGACTCATAAAAGAAACCTCACTTGTCCAAGTCCTTTTTTCCTACAGAGAGTTTGTCAACATTGAAAAACATGAACCTGTAGGATAAAGTTTAGTCCTGTTCAGGTCCCTTTCAGGGCTTCCACGCTCTCCTTCCCTCACTATGTGACTCTCCATCTCCTAGAATGCCATCCCCTTCCACATTCCCCTCTTTTCCTCACTCTCCTGGCTGAGCTCACATCAAGTGTCAATCTTGAATAGAATCATCCCTAACTGCCCAGACAGTGTGAGTTGCTCTTTCTTCCAAACTCCTATTTTTCCTTGAACATAAACCACATCACCTTATTGTCATTGGGAATTTTTATGTACAACTCCTAAAGTTGATGCAAACCCAGGACTAACCTGGCCAGGTGGTTGGTTGGAGCATCATTTCATATACCAAAAGGTTTCAGGGTTCAATCCCTGATTAGGGTACATATCTAGGCTGTGAGTTCAATCTGGTTGGGGCATGTATGAAAGGAAACAAATCAATGTTTCTCTTTCTCTCCCCTTCCCACTTATCTCTCCCTAAAATTCAATAAACATATACTTGGGTGAGGATCTTTTAAAAAAGCCAGAGTCATCTTCCATAAAGTAATAGCATAGATTTTCAACTTCTTTATCATAGCCTTCAAACAACTAAGACATTAACACAATTGATATGTAACTATGATAATAGTAACCATTACAAAATTATGTTCAACTGACAAATGGGCTTGGATGTATACTTAATTTAGGATTATGGTTCATTACTTATGAGAAAATGCTCAAACTCTGCAATTCTTGGTTTTATCATTAATAAAGTAGAAGAAATAAAAACAGTAGAGCTATTGAAAGGTTTGGAGAGTGTTCTTAAAGTGTCATGTACAACACATATATCATTTTGTGGGTCTTTAGTAAATTCACATGATGATGTCATTGTGAGGGACTTAGCAAAAAAAGTCACTCAAAGTAGGCACTAGACACTCATTCCAGTTCCCTTCCTTGTCCTAAAAAGCTTAAGTCAATCTGAAGAGCAGCAATTTAATCACCTTGAACCAAGTATTTACGTGATAATCATGATGTGGTCACCAGCATTTCCTTAGTAAACTCTCAGTGAAAATAGGAATAATGGTTACAATACCTTTCCACACATATTAGGACAAATAACCTGTTCCTTCTTGGAATCAGCTCATTATCTAACAAGGAAAGGTTGTGCAGATAAACAGACAAATTGATGCCCACAGACCAAGAAAACAAAAACATTATTTGCAACCTATTTTAAGGAGAGTATTATGTGGAATACAAAGACAAGCAAATCCCAGTCTTGCTCTTGGAGAGTTTTCAGCCCAGTAAGGGACAAGAAGTGGACCAGCACAGGGCTCATATTGCAGAAGATGGTGAAGAGCCTTGAAGGAGGTGAAGCCAAGTTTGATAAGATCAGAGAAAATCCAGAGGGGACCTGGGAAAGGCTTGATGGATAAGATGTAAATGTGCAAAGATGAGGTGGGGCAGTTCCAAGAAGAAAGTATCATGTCAGTAAACACCCAGAGGAAGGGACACTTGATATATCAAAACAATATAGTCCAATTTGAATAAAGCATATGGTATATACGAAGTTAGAAATGAAAACTGTGTTCTGTAGGAACTTGAGAGTTATGGAAAAAGGGGTGATTGGATTAGCTCTATCCTTTGGGAAGGTTCCATTTCCAGGAGTAGGGTGGGTATGTCTGGGGCCATATTTAAGTGGAAATGGAGAAGGGAGCATTGGTTCATGCTCAAGTCAGAGGGAGATCACCAACCTGCCATCAGCAAAGCCAGGCTTGTCTCTATTGTGGACCTGTCTCACTTCCTTAACTACATATCATCATTGTTGCTTAGGTTTGGGTTAAGTTGTCTTTAGTGTTAGTTTGTCTCTATGTTTTAGATTTTGTTGTTGATGCTCCTATTTTAAATTAGAAGCAGCCATTATAGTGACTGTCATAGAATTTTGAGAGGTGATGCTATTTTATAACAGTGAAGACACAGAGAGACACTCCATTCTATAAACAAAATTATGTGGGGGAGCTTTGTCTGCAGAGCCCCCCATCCACCATGGATGAGAATAAGTCTACCAAGACATGATCTGCTTGGGGAGGAAAGGTGGCCGATCTCTCACAGGAGAAGGACCAAGAGCCTTTTCCTCAACGGCTTTTATTGGGTTCGTTTACACAGGAATTCAGGTAAAGCTCATTACTCATTACCAGGAAGTAAGGATCAAATAACAAGGAACTCTGAGGGCCTATTTTGAGTCAGGGTCAGATAGCTAAAAAGCTGTAAAAAAACTTTAATGAACAAGCTTACTTCTTCGTTGGACCCTTATCATTTAATTGAGAGCATTCTAAACAAAAGCAGGTTTCACAGGATTTTACATATTCTTTCTTAGGCCTGATCATCCCAGGAACCCGCCCTTTCCAGCACAGGGCTGCACCACCCTCTGTCATTGTTTCAGGCTTAGGTGGAGCAAGGGAAGTAAGGCAGCCAAGAGATTAGGGGATTTTCTCACAGACAATGAGGACTCAGGCTTTTTCAAAGCCAGGGGCAAGGGTCCATCACCCCCTTTTGCCGTACCCCTCAAAGTCCTTCCTTGGGGGCCTCCCACATGATCATGCCTGTCTTAGTTCATTCCCCCCTTGGGGAATCTTACCCGTCATTGGCTAACCAACCAAGCATTGGGGGCACTCCTGCCAGGGAGATAAGCTTTTGTCTCCTTGGTAGCATATGGTCCAAGGTCATTCCCTCAGGCTTAGCCTTGGGGGGGGGGGGGTTACAGCTTCTGATACCAGACAGGGCAGTTTCCAACAAAATGATCCATTTATTTCAGAGACTCTAGAAAAATAAATCCTACAATTTTTTTCCTTTGGCAAAGTCATATTTATACAAGTGAAAAGTGAAAAAACAAATTAAATGACTGTGATTATTGATAGTTTGGAAGCATACAATATTTTAACTGTGAGCTCTTTGTGTTCAGTATAATTATTTACATTTATCTATCATGTTATTTTTATTTTGCTGCACCGCCTGTGGTTACAGAACAGGCTGGAGATGAAAACTTTGACATATTTAAGTCTGTTACCGGCCTAAGTGCCTACAGAATTATGGATATTTCTGAAGTGAAAACCAAGTATTTATTGTTTTATAGAATAAATGCACTCTTGACCAATTGCCTGTAAAGAAATCCTAGTATGTCAAATTTTATTTTCCCATTGACTTCTTAAAATAAAATCAGAAATAAGTCCCTTTGGAAATGTTCATTTTGAGGAAGAAGTCATATTTAACAACCCACCAATATTTCAACATACATTAAAAGTAAAAATTTCTTGTCAAGTGTTTCTTGTTTCATTGCTTAAAGTGATCCTATAAATATGTGCAAAATAACTAGTTTTACTCCTATGAAGGTTTGAAGGAAAAGAAATAAGAGCTGAAATGAAAACATATTTGAAATGAAAAATACTCATATATATACATATATATTTATTCCTTTAATATGCACTTATTAAGTAATTGATAGGTGCTGCATTCTCTGGACTAGAAATCTAAAATTAACTTAAATCTGGCCCATTCCCTAGATTCTTTCATGGCTTTGCAAATGGAAAGTGTCATGTCCACAAGCACATTCACAGTTAGAGTCGCTAATTGCTCAGTAGAGGAATGAGACTGTGTTGGGGAAATGTAGGTGGAAAGACTCACTCTGAAGGTGACACCTGAGCATGGGCGGAAGGGTCCGTGCGAGTTTAGAGCAGTCTGAAAGAGCACAGTCTCTGGAGCTGGACTTCTGGTTTAAATCTCGGCTCTTTAGCTTTTTATCAAGTGACCTCGGACAACTTATGTACCTTCATTTTCCCCTCTGTAAAAAATGGGATAGTATTTGCAGCTGCACCAGAGGTTGCTATGAAGAGTTAATGTGTGTAAACAAGTTAGAGCCCTGCCTTGCCCAGGGTAGAGCTCAGCACACATGCTGCTCTTGCTCTATCATTAAGAGTGGGAGTAGAGTTGCCACAAGCAAAAGGAATAGCACACTACTTTTTTTTATTCTGTAAAAAAAATGCTGCCTAGCTCATGGCTTTTACAAATGAGCAGTTTAATACAGGAGCAGAGAAGCAATGGAAGTAGAGTAGAATTGTGCAGGCCCTGAGTGATGACGACGGTCAGAGGTACCAGGCACAGGTCCACTTCCTGAAGCATTCTGTGGCAGGCACCTCAGGTTGTCACCGAGGGTACACCTAGTACAAGTGACACTGTTTTTTCACTCTGGATAATAAGTTTAGTGAAAGAAAGTCAATGGAAGTACAAAGCCTGTGGCTGCAACACACAACCGAGGAGGCCATAAGAGAGGGACATAACAATTATGCGTTAGCCCAGCAGCTGCCAACCTGCTCTAGGAGCCTGCTTTCTCTGCTGATTTCTATAAAAGATAGTTTTGAAAACGTATTTAAAGTCCCTAAGGAATTTATGTAAGATAGCCACTAAAATTATGGAAAGTACAAAACTTACTGAAAATAAGTTAATTGACAAATGACGAGTTAATTATTAGGGGAAGTCAGGATGAGTATATTTAGAAAATATAATGGAGAATTATATAAAATCAGAACCAATGAGAGACCTACCAGCTGTCTCCTTTTCCCATGGACATAAATTAATAATCACTAAAGTAGCCAGAAATCTATTGATTTTATCATTAACAGCCTTTCTGAAATCCTAGCTTGGACAAACACATCATGATTATTTTGTTAATCAGTCCCCTGGCTTACAAATTCATCATGAGTGACTTGTTTTATATATTACATTTCAGTTTAATCAGACTTGCCTATGTTTGTGTCTTTTCATTTTCGGTGAAATAGGAAATCAAGGAGAAACTGGATTCCAGTCACAAAAGAGATATAGAAGGCATGGGAGTTCCAGAAATCAAGTACGGAGATTCTGTGTGCTTTGTCCAGCATGTAGCCAGTGGTCTGTGGGTGACCTACAAAGCACAAGATGCCAAGACATCCCGCCTTGGACCTCTGAAAAGAAAGGTGAGAGGTCGGAAAAGCTGTCCAGAATTGTGTCACACCAAGACAGAAGCAACTGGGCAGGAGAAGCAGTTGTGAGAACTGGGTGGGTGTGATGTGTGTTTAGTTACTGTTCTGCAACAGATCGTCCAGCCGAATTTCATTACTTCGACCTCATATTCAGTGCAAAAAAATAGTTAAGTAGATGGCAAATATGTGAGGAGGCGGTAGAATTTGTTCAATGGAACTTAAAACCTGCACAAAATGCTTTTGGTGGTATCCTATTCGGGGATTAACCACATCATTGCTCCCTCCATTTAAGTGGATAATTGAGTTACTGTGCAGTTTTCATAATAGAGAGATGAAATAGAATCCCTACAGAGAAAAAGCAGATCCCATGGTAAAAAGCCCACAGGAGCCAACATGCAGAAAAAAGAGATATTGTAGAATGATGCTGCCTCCACAGAGGATGTTTCTAGAGTCGAGTGGTCCATCACAGCCTGTTATAATGGAAGACTGGCTTGGAGACACACAGCACCTTTTTACTGGAAAGTCAGTTGTCATAAAGCTGTTTCTCTTGATGGGAACCAGAAAATAGATGCCAAAGGCATGATCCTTTTTTTTTTCTTGGAAAACCCCCACAAAACACAGGTTTGCATGTCAAGGAGTCCCAGGTAAAGTTCTAGGCGGTGTTGTACAGTGTAGTTCAGCCTCACGTGGAGATGATGAAAAGTTTCCCAAATGACGGTGCTTGTAAGAAAGGAGGTTGGGAGCAGACCATAAGGTAATAGCTTACTTTTGTGTAAAGCAAAACATACCAGGAAAATATCCATAAAAGGGAAATAAAATCATGAAGAAGAAATAGAGAATAGAATAGAATAAATAAGATGCCACACTGAATAGCTTGTATGAGCCCAGCCCATCCTCTGCAAGTAGTTGTAAAGGCTGGATAAAACACAAGAAAATCGAATGAACCATTTGAAGGTTTCAATTACCAGAGAACCCGGGCCATGAGTGCTAAAGCTCCATAATAGAAAATAAGTGCACTAAGATGTACCCCACCTTTGTCACCACTTCTGCCTCCATGTGCTTGCTGAGTTGCAGCACCAAGTAGTGGCATCATGTGCTAGCTTCACTGAGCTGGAGAGACAGAGCAGCAATCAGGTCAGCCAAGGTTTCTGTGACTTGAGGGGCCAAGATTCCGGAATGGAGGGAACTATAGGAACATGAACTGAATTTCTATCTGCAGTTTCCTCTAGGATCTTAAGCTGACCATGGATGGGATGTGAAGCTAAGGTAGCAAACAGTGAGTGGCACCATGAGGGACAAGAGGAAAGCAGAGATGTGGACAGTAGGACAGTACTGGGGAGACAGAGCCTGGGGTTTAAGGTCCCTTAACTTGGAATGATCTTTGAAAATACAGTGCTTTCAGTTAAATCCCAAAAGGACTCTGCCCAGGAATAAGGACTATGCCCTAGAAATAGCAGGCAGATTGAAAATCAATGCCAAAAATGCATCATCTACCCTACCAGCCTAACAGAAGAAAATTAAATCCTGTCTAGAGAGTATGATAATACCATCTAGAGCCTCCACAATTTTTCATACCTACTAAGGTAATAATGACATTTAAGGAGAGTGGAATTTGTGCATCTTGGCTGTAACTCTGGTGGGGATGGACACACTCAGAGGACCCTGTCAACCAGGAGAGATCCCAGTTTGTGGAGTTGAATTATTGTGCCTGTCCCTGTCTTTCTATTCCAGAGCCATAATCCCTAGGTCCACTTAACTGCTGAAACATGCATGTGAATTTGGAGGGTGCTTTCTGAAACTAGCTCTCAATGGTGTTGTAATGCTCAGCCCTTGACAGTGTTGTCCTTCTCCATTTCCTGAGAAGCAGGTTGAGCTCCCCTCTAAAAATACAAAGGATGTCCAAATCTGTGTTTCATGAAACAAACAAAACAGGAACCTAGGAAGACCAATGGAGAACAGACACCATGAGAAACCTAATGAACCATAACTCACCTTAAAGAAAGTACCCTCTTTCCCATTTGTATCTCAGACTTGTGCTCTCTGCTATTGGGCCATGGGATTCCTCCAAGATAAAAAGGACCTTAGGAACTGGGCTGCAGACATCAGTGAGGCACAAAAAAAAACCAGTATTCTAACAGCTGCATTTCCCCGCTTCTCCCTTTCTTATTGGGCTGGTCAGTTTGAATGTGTTATGTGAACAATCAAAGCCTAAGGATTTTAGTCTTTAGGGACCAGAAAGCTGGAAGTGAGGGCAAGGTGAACCTACTGGCAATACTTCATGTATAAAGGACACATGGACAAAGCCAAAGGGGGGAAGGATCGAGGGTTGGACATGGGGATGTGTGGAGTGGGGGAAGTAGTGGGGGGGGAAATGGAGACAATTGTATTTGAACAACAGAAAAGGAAGAAAAGGAGGGAAAGGAAGGAAGGAGAGAGAGAGAAAAGGAAGGAAGGAGAGAGAGGGAAGGGAAGGGAAGGGAAGGGAAGGGAGGAAGGGAGAGAGAGAAAGAGAAAGAAAGAAAGAAAGATATATCACTAACCAGTTGCTGGGAAGTGCTGCGAAGTTCTGGCAAAGTCATGTTTTGAAATGGTGACTCCAATGGTAACAGCATCCTTTGCTGGCACTTAAACTATAATGTGTAGATGGGTTGCAAAGTCTGTTCTCAAAAATGAACATAAACTTTTGCATACCAGCATTCTACTCCTATGTATATTCAGTATATCAGGACATATCTTCAGAAGAAAACTAATAAAAAAAAAGATTTTAACATGGAAAGGAAAATAAATTGTTTCTTTGTGCTAAGAATGACACCAAAGAAAGAAAGACCAAAAATCCTTATTCTAAAGATATTTTCTAAAGCCTTGTGTTCGACTTACTTGACATACAGACTGACAGACCACCACCACCACCTCCAGTCACTCGGGACCTACAGATGGTCTCCCATCAGGAGACCATGCCAGAAACCTGAATCAAGATTGACCCTGATTTGAACTACAGTCAAACCACCCCAGTGAATATCTGCACATACTTGACCCTTTTAAGCAGAAAACTACTGACTTCCATGCCAAAAGCCACTAGCCCCGCCAAAAATTGTATCATGGTGATGAACGGTATGCTTAGCTTCTAGATCTGAGATCAGTAACATGCTGCCCCTTGTAACAAACATTCATTGAGTACCCCATATCCTAGGAAACATGCTAAATGATTTACTTGTAAACCATCTAGTCTTCCAAACAACCCTTCAAGATAAGTCTATTTGCAGATGGTAAAGTTGAAGCAGAGAGAGGTTAAGTAACTTGCCTAAGGTCACACAGCTGGGAAGTGCACAGAAGGGTTAGAACTCAAGTTGCTGATACTGGGGCCTATGCTTTCAAGCCTTCTCTCTAGCCTCGCTGAGAAGCGCCCTGCCCTCCTGTGCTGCTTCCTCAGTTCTGCAGTGAGCTAACCCAGTGTAGCTATCCTGAGCAGAGAAATCCACGCCTGACCCCAGCGGAGGGTTTTGCTTTAATGTGTCTTTCTTTTTACTCAATTTACCTCTGCAGGAAAAGTGTCTAACAAAAGAACTTTTTCCATGGCCAAGAGTAAGCTTTGTGTTCACTATAAGAGAAAAATCTATTATAAAGTGTGTTTTCACCCTTTCAAATTGGCCACCTAGGCCCAAGGAATTTATTGTAATTCATACCACGGTGGCACATAAAATTTTATTTTCCTCAAAGCATCGTGTCTCAGGAATGATTCATATGTCAGTACGAGGGTGTATGGGCAAAATAACTTTGTTAATGTCCCATTTTCAAAATGGACCCAAGGGAACTTGGCTGGGGAGAAAGAGTACAAGGGTAGAGGGAAACCCTGCAAGAAATGTTGAGCGCCCAGCTGTGGAGTCTGTGTAACCTGGCCCCGGTGGCTTCGCTCTGTAGGTCATACTCCACCAGGAAGGCCACATGGATGATGGGTTAACACTGCAGAGATGCCAGCGTGAGGAATCCCAGGCGGCCCGCATCATCCGCAACACAACAGCCTTATTCAGCCAGTTCGTAAGGTGAGTTGAGTGCCTTACCTTTCTCTCTCTCTGTCTCTCTCTCTGTCTGTCTGTCTGTCTCTCTCTCTCTCTGTTCTACAGCCTTCCAGTCTCGTCTGCCCACCTTCTTTTACTACTGCAAGTGTTTTCAGGAAACACTAGCAAAAAGGTTTACCAAAGAGAGCTTAAGGCTGAAATATATTTCCCACATAGGTGACCTCCTACCAGCCTCTCTCTTTGCCCACAGATGTCCCAGTCCCACTGGTTACTCAGGTTGGTGTCATGAAGATCCAAGGTCATCTCAGGAAAATTAAGTGAAAGAGCTGCCATGCTCTGAGTCCCTTTTGTATTAGTATGTGAAGAGGAGAGGAGAGAAAGGACGCAGATCCACTCGTCCTCTGCTATTTAGACAGGATTTCTACAGCATTCAGAATCATCATTATGGTTTGCATCCAAGCAAATTTGCATTGGAAACCTTGAGTTACCCAGCTATGACTGGGACTTAAATGGGAAAAGTACGTGAACTGCCTGCTTGGATCATAATCCCGCAGCCCTAACAGTGCTGCCAAAACAGAACTCCGTGGATTGTGTTCACCGATTACCATGACAGAGTCTGTTGGCAACAGTGTGCTGTTTCAGGCCATCCTTCTCTTGTGGGAAAATATCTCTAAGGCCAAGAGGGTTTAGATTATACATGTGAATTTGTGTAAAATGAGAAAACAAAAGGCTAGACTTTTCTCCTTTACTTTTCTCCCTGCTGAAACAATGTGATCCAAGAAATGTGTGTACAGATATAAGCAAAGCTGCTGTTACAGTTCAGGATAAACTTTTATTTCTCTTTAAGGTAATATTATAGGGGAGGTGAGTGTTTTAAGGAAGAGGCTGGCTACTGGGGCTCAGGCCCTTTCTGTCTTGTTGCTTTGAGATCTCCTGAAGGTTTTTAAAGGGTGTCCATGGACTGGCCCAGCAGTATCACCTGGGAACGTGTTAAAAATACCCATTCTCAGGTTTCACCCCAGACTTACTAAATGAAACACCTGGGACAGGTACCCCAGAAAATCATGTTTTAATAGGCCCTCTGGTTGATATTGATGCATGTTCAAGTTTACAAACCAGTGCCCTGGAGTAGACAGGTCTTAACCTTGGCCACATGTTAGATTCATCTGGGCAGTTGTTTTTTTTGTTTTGTGTTAAAATTTTGTTTATTTTTAGAGTGGTGAAGGGAGGGAGAGAGGAAGAGAAGCAGCAATGTGTGGTTGCCTCTCATGCACCCTGTACTGGGGACTTGGCCTGCAACCCAGGCTTGTGCCCTCACTGGGAATCGAACCTGCCACCCTTTGGTTTGCAGGCTGGCACTCAATCCACTTAGCCACGTCAGCCAGGGCCATCTGGGCAGTTTTGAACACCCTGATCTCAGACCAATTGTATCAGAATCTCTTGGGTGAGATCCAAACACCAGAGTATTTTCTTTTTGGGTTTTCAAAATTTATTTGTTACAGTTGACATACAATATTTTATATTAGTTTCAGGTGTGTAATATAGTGGTTAGAAATCTATATACCTTACAAAGCAGTCAGCCCGGTAACTCTAGTAACCATCTGACATAGTTATTACAATATTATTGACTATATTCCTTGTGCTATACTTGGTATCTCTGGGAGTTTTTTTATAACTGGCAATTTGTATTTTTTAATCCCTTTCACCTTTATCACCTGTCTCCCCAACCTCTTCCCATCTGGTGACCATCAGTTTTTTTCTCTATTTATGAGTTTGTTTCTGTTTCGTTTATTCATCTTTTTTACATTCCACATATAAATGAAATCACACAGTATTTGTCTTTCTCTGACTGGCTTATTTCACTTAGCATAATATCCCCTAGGTCCTTCCATGTTGTCATAAATGGCCAAATTTCATTTTCTAATGACTGAGTAATATGTCATTGTATATATGTACCACTTTGCCATCCATTCATCTATCAATGGACACTTAGGTTGTTTCCATCTCATGGCTATTGTAAATAATACTGCAGTGAACATAGGAGTGCTTGTATCTTTTTGAATGAACAAAGAACAGCATTTAATTAAACCTCCCCAGGTGATTCTAATATTCAGCCTCAGTCAACAACCACTGTCCTGGTGTGTTTGCTTCATCTGCACCACAGGTGGCAAACAAGCCTCATGAGTGAATCTGGCCCTCCACATTATTTTATCTGGCCCAGCACCTTGTTTCTCCCCAGTGGCAGCGCCGAGCTCCTTACCCTGGTTTAAGAAGTAGTTACATTTATACAGGCCTAAAATTACATTCAGCCCTTTGAAGGCAACCACAGGCCTGATGTGGCCCCTGGTGAAAATGAGTTTGACACCCCTGATCCACACAATCAAAATTTGCTTAGTTGCACCAACGTCTAAGGTCTCGTCTGCAAAAGAGGAAGAAAGAGAAAGCAGAGGGCAAGTGATTTCTTTTTAAAAAAGATATGACCTGAAAGTAGATCACTTTATTTTGAAGTCTGTTAGCTAATGCTTAGTCATGTGACCACACATACCTGCAGGAAAGCTGAGAAATGTAATCCCTGGTTGGTTGGCTATGCACCCAGAAAAATTCAGGGCCCTGTTACTGAATTGGAAAAAGGAAAGTCAGTAATTGGTGTATTCCTGCCACAGGATAGAACTGAGGCCTGCAAGTCAACCATTCTTTGTCTGCCCTTGGCTTTGCCACTGGTTTCCTGTGATCACTGAGCAAAATACAGTATTTCCTCCTTGCTATGCCAAGTTACATTCAGACATGCACCCCTTTTCAGAGAAAGGATGTAAGAATGGATGGCTTTGTATAGCAAAAAAAGATAGGTACATAGAAACATGTGTTTCATGTAGTCTGGATTATTATCAGAACCATCACATTAGAGGTAGATAGTTTTATTTATTTCGTCCCCAATTCTCTCAACCTCTGCCCCTGTATCTTTTTTAAAAATTAGTGGCTCCTACTGTTACAGAACACAACAAGGGGGGCCTGGGACAATATACTATTATTGAAAGAAAGCCCCGGGTCCGTTATGTCCGCCGCCAGAGGAAAGACGTCTCTCAATGCCAGAGATTCGTGAAAAGGAAAGGAAACGTTTATTTAATGCTATACAAACTTAAAGTAGTGACCTAATGTCTTTATCAAAAATCCCAAAGTCCCTTAAAACACCCACAAACACAGTCACAGTCCTTCCTTCCTTCCCCCTTTGCCCAGTCCAGAGTACCGTATCTCAGGAAAGGAAAACAAAGTCCATGGCTCAGACAGTCCTCTGGTTCTTAGTTAGTCCTCCATCTCGACTGGGAGACCTCCCTGGGTTCCCGGCACCCTCGGCTGAGTCGCCGGAATCTCTGCTAAAACCAGGTGGTGGTTCCCCTTCTAAAGCTGTGGGGGTCCCCACTCTGTCCAGGCCTCGTGGTTCTCCCTCTCAGGGCTGCAGGAGTCTCCACTCTGTCAAGGCCATGTGGTTCTCTCTCCTAAAGCAGCACGGTTCTCCTTCTCAGGGATGCGGGAGTCTCCACTCTGCTAAAGACGCATGGTTCTCTCCCTCAGGGCTGCAGGAATGGAGAGTCCTCACTCTGCCAAAGCCGCGTGGTTCTCCCTCCTAAAGCAGCACGGTTCTCCTTCTCAGGGCTGCGCATGGTTCCCTCTTCTCAAAGCAGCATGGTTCTCTCCCAATGGCCGCCAAGTCTGGGTTTTAAATCCCTGCGGCCAATCTTCCTCTGCAGCCTCATTTCCGACTCCTCCCACACTCGGCTTCACATGCCAGAACTGTATCCTTCCAGGTTTACTGGGCTGCCATCATGAGTCTGGGCAGGTGTGGCCCCATGTCCTGGAGCCAATCTTCTCAGAGCTCCCACGCAGGCGCTGTAGCTTGGGGGATCTGCCCCCAGTCACATCTTGGTGGGGAAGTTACTTCCATTCCCCTGGCTCAGAGATGATCACAGCTATTTAACATATCTAAGTGACCAGCCAAAGGCTATAGATATGTTAAATGACCACGCCAGAGGGTAGCTGCAAGGCTATTGCTATGCAAAACAGCTCTCAATGGCCCTGCTCCATTTGTCCCTTCCCCCAACCCACACCCTGGGTGGGGGGGATGGAGACATCTTAAAATCTCTGGGACACCTTAAGTTCTGGACCCCATTTCAAATGCCCATTTGGGGTCCCCCCTCTTGGCTGCACCCTGTAACACTACCTCACACATGCACAAAAAGTAATAATTCAAAATGGATCAAAGGCCAGTTCTAAGACCTAAAACTATAAAACCTAGAAAAGAAAACATAGGCTTAAATTTTCATAATCTTCGCTTGGACAGGGGTTTCTTCAACAAAATAAAAAATAAATGAATTGGAATTTATCAAAATTGAAAATGTTTTGCCCTGGCCTGGTGGCTCACTTGATTAGAGCATTGCCCAGTACACCAGAAGGTTGTGGATCCAGTCTCCGTCAGGGCATATACCAAGGTTGCAGTTTTCCCTAGTCAGGAGGCCTATGGGAGGCCTAGGGAGGCAGCCAAGCAGCCAGGCAATGCTTTGATGTTTCTCTCTCTTCCTCCCTCCCCCTCTTTCCTCCCTCCCGCTTCCTCTCTTCTCCCCCCGACCCTCTCTCTCCTTCTCCCTCCCTCTCCCTCCTCTCTTTCCCTTTCTCTCCTCTCTCTCCCTCTTTTTCTAAAATAATAATATGTTCTTTGGTGAAGATTAAAAAAAGAAAAAAAAGAAAAATTCTTTTTGCTAGGAAGGATACCATCAAGAAAGAAAAAAAAAAAAGCCCACATAATGAGACAATATATTTGCAAATAATATATGTGATAAGGGACTTGTATATAGAATAAAGAACTCTCACAACTCAACATTAAGAAGACAAATGTACCAATTTAAAAATGAGCAAAGAATCTGAATAGCCATTCTCCAAGAAAACATACAAATGGCCAATAAGCATATGAAAAGATGTTCTACATCATTACCCATCAAGAAAATGCAAATCAAAACTACAGAGAGATAACA